CATTGGTGACCCACTGGGGGTACTTTGATTCTCTGATGGAGCCGTTGGCCAGTAACTTGTCTACTTCCTCACTGACCGCTTCTTTGATAGCGGCGTTGAATTTTCTCCTCATCTGTCGCACGGGCAGATGTAATGGATCGACATTCAGCTTGTGGGTGGCGATGTCTCGCGGGATTCCCAGCATATCTGAATGGGAAAAGGCGAACAAATCTGCATGGTTAGTTAAGAATTCACGATACTTACTTGGGTTGGCGAGACCGTGCCCGATATAGGCTTTCTTTGTAAGATTGGTTTCGTCCAATTGGACTGGGTCGAGATCTTCGACCGTCGCTTTATAGGCCTCCACAACGTCGGGGTCTTTGATGGCGTCCCTTGTCGGGTTGAACTTAGTCCCCGACACGGCTAATTGCTATGCCTCCGCGCTCGCCCCCTTTAGCTATTGGGTGTGGGCACAGTCTTGGGCTATTTTGTAGCATTCTTGTGCGGTGCGTGGCTCGCCACGAATACTGAATACTCCCCATGGGGTAGGGAATTTGATCACTTGGTAAAGGCTTGAAGGGACCGCTCGCATGGCGTGTATCCACGGGCATCCTATGATGACGTTGTACGCCGTTTCTTTGTTCATCACGTGGAAAGTTATTTCCAGCGTGACTCCTCCTGCTAAGACGGGCAGTGCTATTTCTCCGGACGTCCGTTCCACTGCATTGTTAAAATCGGTTAGTGTTATGCAGCGCGGTATTACCCTATCCTCGAGTCCCATTTGTACGAGGACCCTTGGGTGGATAATACAGGCGCCACTTCCGTCATCGATCATGATTCTTTTAACATCTGTATCAGCAATACGTAAAGTGATAACTAAAGCATCGTAATGAGGGAAAGACAAACCATCGGCATCAGACTTATCGAAGGTGATACTATCTTCGAAGTCGTCATACCGTTCATGGGCGATGGTCCGCTTTAGTTTGTGTGTGGTGGTGAACTTGACGTGATTGATCGCCAAGTCATCGCCGCGTCCGACGATCATGTTTATCGTGCGTGCTGGGGAGGGCGGCTTCGGCGGCCCGTGGGGTTGTTCCCGTCCGCGTGCAAAGTTGATTTTCCCTTTGTCACTGAGTAATTCCCTCAGGTATCCCTGGTTCAGCATCCTGACCACCTCTTGCCGTAGGCCTATGCAGTCTTGGGTTTTGTGCCCCCGTTCTTGATGGAACTCATATAGGACATTTGATTTCCTTGTGGATGGGTCTGATTTCATCTTCTGCGGCCACTGCACTTTGGTGCCCAGCTTCTCCAGTACGTGCACTATTTCTGAAGGAGACACACAAAAGTTATGGGCGGATAATAAAGGAGGCGTACCTCTTTCGTTTCGGAGTGGGGCGACGTGTCGCTGTAGCGCGTCTGTATGCCTTGGTGGCGGATGGGAGGATCTGGTGTATGGCTGATGTCGATCTCTGTTGGAGCGAGGGAGTTGTTCTCGTCGTCCTTCGTTTCGTCGATCTCTCCTCGTTTCTGAGTGTATCGCTGTTAGGCGTTGGGTCGGCCCATTAAGATCATCCTCGTCCGCTCGTACCTCAGCGTAATAGGTGTTGTGGATTTCCTCCCATGTGGTAGGGGGATATTTCATGAGGCGACTCAGCAACTTCTTGGTTGCCCTTGAACCATCCCTGCTTAGCCCGTTCTGGAAAGCGGCGACTGCCATACCTTCCGATACGTTTGGTAGACTCATCCTTACCCTGTTAAACCTTGCTAGGAAGTCCCTGAGTCCCTCTCCTATAGTTTGCCTGATGGCGAAGATGTCGTTGACCCTGGCCTCCGCTTTCTTCGCGCCTGCATGGGCTGTGACGAACTTATCCGCCATTTCCTCGAACGTTGATATTGCCTTAGCCGGTAGCTGAGAGTACCATGTTAAAGCCCCTCCTGTCAACGTCTCGCCAAACTTCTTCAGCAGTACCGACGGTACCTGTTCTTTTGATAGGTCGTTGCCCTTCACAGCGGTGACGTAGTGGATCAGATGATCCTCGGGATCTGTGGTTCCGTCATATACCCTCAAGTAGGGTGGCATCTTGAAGGTTTTTAGGGTGGAGTGAGGGGCAGCTTCTTCAGTGTATGGTTGTTCAACGAACCTTCCCACGTCGCGTTTTGGTAGCAACTTGGGAGCACCGGGGATCTTGTCGACCCTCTCCTGATGTTCCTTCATCTGATCGCGGAGCGCCTTGTTTTCATTTTCCATTTCTTCCATCTTCTTTAGGATGGCTGTTAGCGTGCCATCGTTGGTCTGTGTCTCGATGTGTTTGTTATTTGCTAGTGCAACTTCCGGTTCACCCACGACAACAGTGGTATCTACCGTTGGTGTACATCTGATGTTACTTTGTGGTGACCTCTCGACCAAGCCACTTAGAGTGCTTGTTACCATCTTTCCAGTAGCTTCTTGACCGCTGAGGGTGCTTCCGTAGCCGCAGATGTGGAAGCTCCTTTTTCGTGCAAGATCGTCAGATCTTCGGATGAGGAAGGTGAGATCTCTGCACCCGGTGTGATGCTATGGGTTGCATTCAGGATGCCATCGTCACTGGCCTCGTTGAGAGGGCCAAGGAGATTGGTAGTGACACCCAATATAGCTTTCGATCTTGTGTTATTTTCGGCCATCTTCTGTTTTTGTATGGTGTAGAGAGTGGTAGTTGGTTGATCTCTAGGTGGATACTATGATTTTGATTCTCGAAATCCCCACAGACGACGCCAAATTGTTTGGCTCAAAAGTTAACAATATACTTTGTAAGCTAGAAAACAATCAAAAGTAAGAAAAGGGTAAATCGTAATCAAATATAGTGGACCTAGAGATGTAAAGATGATGTTATTGTTGTAGATCTAGTATTATAAAGTGATAATATGAACTCAAGAGAATATGTTCGTTTGAGACAGAGATAGAGAGAGAGTCAGATAATGAGAGAGTTGTATTATTCAAGAATCCCCTCCCTTTACAATGTGAAGGTCTCCCTTATATAATAAGAGACCTTCCTCGAAATAATCAAAAAGTTACAAAAATAGGTAACGTTTTCCTAGTGAAGACACTGAGTCCTAAACGATGTTGCTTTTGTCCCCACATCCGAATCGTACCCATTACGTTAGTCGGCGTACACTCACTGGGCGTACCCATTGGCGTAGAGACGCTGACGGTCAAATTTGACCCTATACAAATCTAATGAAATAAAAAATGTGCTAACTACCACGATTGGAAAATAGAAAGAAAAAATACTTGTTTCAAATCTTTGTAAACAAAAGACTGACTGAACGAATTATTTCCAAAACCTGTCTTTAATTTAGAATTTAGAATAAAACTAAAAGGGAAAATTAAATGCAGCGGTAGAAGAAGAATATTTCTGTAGAATTTAGTATTTAGTCTTTGCGCTGTTTTTAGTACTATCGTAATAGGTTGAGGTTAATAGGACTGAGAGTCATCAGTGATTACATAGGTTTACTTGGTGGAATGTTTCCTCCAACTTTTCCTTTTCCCGTTACAACCTTTTTATTTCTTTTTGTAATTCATATGTCTTAATTAATTGTAATCAGTAAAATATAGTAATGATTAGAATTCATTATGCATACGCGAGTTAGGTGACTGTTCTAATTCTGTCACTTTTACCTTTTCATTTTACGAAGGGCAGGGGCGGCCAAACCCTAAAGCACTTGCTTTAGACCCCAACATTTAAGGGCCCCAAAATTGCTATTTTTTTATATATAGCAGTATACTGTTTATACAATTATTTTTTATTATTGATAAATTTATTTCTTATTATCATATTAATTTTAATAACTCAATTTCTTCCTCTAATTAATATAACCAAAATAGTTTTCTGTCAATCTTATTTTACGTTTTTACTGAATTATATTTCTGTATTCATTTGTTAGTCACGTAATTATATCTAATAATCTAACTTATTATTTATTTTCCTTACATAAATTATACTCTCTCCGTCCCAATTTATATGAAATTGTTTGATTGGACACGGAATTTATGAAATAAAGGAAGACTTTTGAAACTTATAATCTAAAATAAATCATAGAAATTTGTGGGCTAAAAATCATCTCATTAAGGGTAAAAAAATCTAAAGTTGAATTGTTACCAAAAATAGAAAGGGTCTGACTTAAAAAAAGGAGTCACATAAGTTGGGACAAATGAAGTATGTTTTCTGGGTTCTCCCATTTCAGTTGTGATGCAATCAACGTTAAATTCATCTAATTTTTTGTACTTTATAAAATTAAGTTCTCATTTTTTTTCATTTCACATCCTCACTTGTCTAATTTTTCAAAAAATGAAACTGATTAAAATTTTATATATATAGACCTTTTATTAAAGTTTTGCTTTAGGCTTCGGATGTTGCTGAGCCGCCCCAGGGCGGGTTTGCTTCATAAAATTAAGTTCTCATTTTTTTTCATTTCACATCCTCACTTGTCTAATTTTTCAAAAAATGAAACTGATTAAAATTTTATATATATAGACCTTTTATTAAAGTTTTGCTTTAGGCTTCGGATGTTGCTGAGCCGCCCCAGGACGGGTTTGCTTCATCGTGAAAGAAGACAAGTTAACAATCTTCTTTAGATACTACAAATTAGGAAAATTCGTGGAGTCAAGTCTTATTATCGCTTGATTTCCAAGCCTAAATCGTGTGAATTGGTTCTGCGTAAGAGCTGACACAACCATGCACAGACCATACGCGTCACACAAATCTAATCAGCACGTGTTCCACTTGAATCTTCTAACCTCAGAATAGCCAACCTTGACCCTTGGCCAGTAAAGTTAGTAAAGTCTTGCTCTCCACAATGACGGCGTCACTTCCGTCACCACCCTCTCATTTTCACATTTTATAGTAGTAAATTCGGTATGAAATGATCCCAAAAAACATTATACAAAAACAAATAGAGAAAGAGGATTTATTAGGGGGACAAAGTCGTCGTGGACCCCACTCCCCAAAATTGAAGAAAAAGGAAGGAAAACGCGAGCTCTTGAATCTTTAAAAGGCTGGTCACCGCCTCATTTGCAGCCACAACATCTTCCACATTATACTTGTCTTCCTCCTCCATCCAATTACGTAAACGTAGTATATAGCATACATACATAGATGGGTGCTTGTTTGTCTTCCTCTTCCGTCATCGATGCAAAAGATCAGAAGCCCTCCTCCGCCTACGTGATCTCAGCCAACGGAGAGCTCCGTCAATATACAGTTCCCATCAACGTCTCTCAAGTTCTTCAGTCTGAGATGCCTTCTGATGCTTCCTTCATCTGCAATTCCGACCGCCTTTACTTCGACGATTTCATACCTCGTTTGGATTCTGAATACCAGCTTCAGCCCGGTCAGATCTATTTCGTGCTCCCTACTTCCAAGCTTCAGTATCGCTTGAGTGCGTCTGAAATGGCAGCTCTTGCCGTTAAAGCAAGCGCTGCTCTCGAGGACCTCAACAAAAACAACCGTCGCCATTCTAAGAAGTTTATAAGGAAGAATAAGAAGAGCAATTCTCGGATTTCACCAATGCTTCTCCAAGTGGAAGATGAATCTCGAGATAATTATACTCAAAGTCAAAGCAATTATAGGGCTCCGTCCATGGGGCTTGGCGTTTCCATGAGATCTGCTTCTGTCAGAAAATTGCAACGAATATCTTCGCGGCGGGCAAAGATGGCTGTGCGCTCCTTCAGGAAGCTTATGACTATTCAAGAAGGATCCGTTCTCTTGTTTACTTAACTAATTAATTACTTCATTATTTTGTTCTTTTGACGGGAGCGTGAAGGAGAGAGGTTAATTTCTTCTCGAGTTGAAGGGCTTTCTCCTCATTTTCACTTTTCATGGGCAGTAACATGCTATAGGTTGTAACATGCCCTCATCTTCTCTCGCTCTCGGCATGTAAATAAAAATATGCGGGAGTTGCAGAGCATAAGATCAAATTCAGCTGTTTGTAAACTTAGTAATTAACCTTTTTGTGCAATATAATTCCCTATTTTCTTGTGAACTGAAATAGTAAATCATCAAAATTAAACTCAGTTGCATCGGCAAAAACATGGCCGCCAAGATTTAATCATCATCTGCAAATGGGCTATTCTTCATCTTATTGCATGTTTTTTATTTTTGAATTGTAATAGGTTCATATTAGAATTTGAAATTTATGACTCATTTTAAGTTATTGGTTCTTGATCACGCCCAACTCTAGTCCTAAAAAGAATAAGCGGTCGCTGCAAATTTAATCTGGTCTAAAAGTCCGGAGTCGAATCCCACAGAGAACTAAGGCTTAGCTATATCTGTTTAATATCACTAAGAAAACAAGATTGAACAATTTTCTAAATTATAAAGATTGAGATTTATATTTCTAACTAATTAACTAGCAAATACTACAAAACGATAAAATTATCAACTAACGAGACAAAGGGTTGGAGACTAAATTAAGGAGGTCTAGAGTTATGGTTTCCCCAATTGTCGGAATCCTTCTAGCTATGTTCCCTACAATTTTGTCAATGTATTCTCTATCGATCGTGAGCACTTTAGGTGCCGTAATTCTCTCTCGAGCAACTACAGCAATTTACTAGACATATTCTCTCGAACTACGCTAGTTGGCTTTATCTAACCGCTCACTATGACCACGTCAAGGCTTTGTTATTTCTAAACCTACCTTTAAACCCAATGTATTGATTTCTCACATACGTTAGGAGTGACGTTGTTCAACAACCAGTTAAATATGTATCCTTTCTCAAGCAACACATAATAAATAGGCACAGTCAATCGATGTCCATTCAATCAACAACAATAAACACGTAGTTGAACAAGTAGAGAAATCCAACGGCTCAATTATATAAAAACATAACAAGAATTTATCCTGCAAAAGGTTCTATCAAAACCCTAGAAAACAAATTAGTAATTCATAATAGTATGTAAAACTACAATAGTAAAAGTCATAACCAACAACAGAAAATAGGAAGAGGAAGGAAAAACTCGTTGAAGAATTCCCCGCCTTGCTCCTATTGTGTTTTTGCCTCCTTAGGTCGAATTTGTGTCAAAAATTGGTCTCCTCCCTTAGGTCTAAATTATGTCAAAAGTGTGTCCAAAATTGGTCGCCTCCCTCAAAAATACCGTTTTTCCATGTATATATACCAAGTAGGGTCGGGCCCAAACTATTGTACCTTCTCCTACGCGAAAAAGGATAATTTTTTCAGGTCTGGACGCCGCAGTCGCGGTCAACCGCGGTACTACCGCGGTATATGGCAAGTATACTGCCTCAGCCTGCCTCAAGTCCGCGGTCGCGGTTTCGACCGCGTTTTTCACCCTGTTCCATTTGGAATTTAGAAAAACGTAAAACATGAAAGTTGTAGCCCTTTGAGTTAGCTTTCCAACCATATATTGTGTAGCCCAAATGGAGTTCTGAGCAAAACGTTATGTGCATTTTACTAGACAGCGCACAATATGCCTACTCGATTCTTCGTTTTGTTGCTCTATCATCCGTTGATCCCCGAATACGATCTTGGCTTAATTCCTTGGACTTTTACTCAGACTTCAAAGCTCCAAATCACTTGAATTCATTCCATAACATCTACATAGCTCAGAATCACTCCTACAAGGCATAAAACACTCAACTAGTGCAAGACACTAGCGATTAAAGCTCAAACTCAATTAAAGTGCAGTAAATTTGAGTGTAATAAGCGACTAAAATACGTAATTATAACCTACCATCAGTTCTAAATTAATAATTTATACCTATTAAATAAACTTTTTAAATATAAATAATTAAATACAAAATTTAAACCAAAGTTATTGGATTTGGCTGAACCGTACTATAGACTATAGCTCTGCCCCTGAATAGACTTTGTTTCGATCGTCTTCGTTTACCTTATTAACGAATTAAAGTTGTTATGTCATTGTCAAGTACGAGTAGGTAAAAAATAATTGGAGCATCTCCTTTTACAATCTATATTTGGAAAAAAAGTTGTTCTATTAAAAAATAAACATTTTTATTCACATGGTTATAGTATGTCAAAAGTCATAGCTGGATGATGGTTTTTAGGAGGAATGGAGTAGAAAGAAATTAACGTGTGGAGAAGTCGTCGCTTACGATTATTAATTAAATGTAAATGAGGAATCCTAGTGGGAGAGAACTTTCTCCAAGGGCCAGGCAAAAACAGCGGCCAATGATCCATTCTTATGCAAAACAACAAAAGTTCAAGTGTGGGATTGGCGAATAAATTAATTAGATTGAAATTTTAGGATAACGGCTTTGAATTATTATAGTTGTTCACATCCTTTACTACTTCTCCTCCAAGTTTTACTTTACATCTTCTAATGCATCACAACGGAAATTGCCGTGTCAAATTATTTACTAATATTCTTGCACTAGTTTCAAACTCGTGGTCCTTGAACTGCTTTTCCAATTCTTACGGCATACTATTTTGTCCCCAATTCCATTGCAAAAACTATGTGCTAGCCAATACACATTTCAATCGCGGCCTTGAATATTAAGCAAAATTTCTTCTATCAAATATTAGTGTAGATGGCAGTTGGAGAATATTTGGGCTGAAGTTGGAAACAAGAGTTTTTGAATTGAATGTATAGGTCCAAATTTGGCGACTTAGCGGTAACGGATAAGTAAGACAAAGGACAGGGTCGACCACGATATAACGATTAAAGGTTGCTCTCACAAAGGCTGGTGCCAGAAATGGGCAGCCGAGGTGAGAAAATAACTGTAGCATAGGTTCAGATATTCTTTATGCTGTACTTTTTAGGGTTTTTGGGGAATATCCCTTATAAATAGGAAGAGATAGAAAACAAAAAAGGGGATCTTCTTGACTTTTCGATAAGAACACATTGTAAAGGTTGACAAAACAGAATATTCAAAAGTTGTCTTGTTCGTTGATGATATTATTGAAGCACACGTTGTTCAATCTTTATCCATAGATCCAAAGATTCCACACCCATCTTGACTTCTCACTTTCCCACGTTGCTGACAGAGGAAAGGAACATCCCAATCATATAATAATTGGGTGGTAGATCCTTTCTTATGACATTCATTGCCATTATTTACATTTATTATATATTCATGCTATCATATTTATTGTCAATCATAGAGTATTGAATCCGTTATTTAATGCTCTTGAGCACTACTTATCTCACGAGTGTTACATTTTATTCGGTCTAGAATTTATTAAGTTCAACTAAGATTTGCCCTTTAATTCATCATTAATTGGTCTGGTAAAAAGGTTTAGCACTTTTTTGCTCAAACATTGAAGGTAGACAAGAAATTCACTTGGAAAAAAATGGAACTTTTGGAGTAAAAACCAATAACCTTCCCCCTAAAATATATCGTCAAACGAGTGTTTCAAATTTCGCTTGAAATTTGATAGTACGTAATTGCAAATAGTACTCTTGGCGAAATAAATATATTTGCAAATGCTGAAATATATGACCAAACAGGCATTAATCGTTCAACATGCTCAAATGAACAGTAACAAGATTAAAAAGTTAACAATGAAATACAAATTTAAAAGAGAGAAAAGAAATAGAAGTTGTGTGTTACTACGTACAATTGGTTTTCTTGATCATCATTTGGTAAAGATATAATACCCAAAGAAGCTGGATAGTATGATATGATTAAACGCATGAAGGGTGTGGTCTATTACCCAAAGTCCTTCTTTGAACTTTTCAAATAAGATAAAGATAAGAGTATGCGACTATGAAAGCTATTCAAACTAAAGCGACGTTGTTAATTATCTCTATCTCTATAATCAAAGGTAACACGGCGTTGTTTGGGAGTGGTCCTACATATGTTCTTTTCCCCACGGGAGGGAGAGGCTGTGTTGACCCTCCCCTTTAATTTAGATTGCCACAATGCCTACTTTAGTTTTATTTCTTTATTGTTGTTTGACTTCATCAAAACAATCTCCACATATTTCGTATAATATTCTTTTTGTATCACCAACATTATCTTGGAGATGCAAATTGATTTCTTCCTTGCACCTAATTAGTGTAATATAATTCATCGCCAAACTTTCAGTTTAAATCTTTTTGCCTTATCTGTATAAACTGGAGTACTAAATTTAAAATATTGCACATAGATTTTCATAAATGTTTTTCTTTCAATGTTAGCGCTAGGATAGATCTAGTTCTCTACGGCGCCTTCCAAATCTAAGCTCAATTGCTTGTGCTTAATACCTTGCCTGGGTTTGGCCGACAAATACGCATGGGAAGCTCAGTTGCTGGGCCTTGTGCTCTTAGCTATGAACCAACATTTACTTAATGCGCTGGTGTTTGGAATCGCATAGGTATCTCATCCACCTATAAGGTAGTCCACAATCTGGCACTTTACCAAAGCAAACGCAGCTCTTATACATCAGCGTACTATAGATGTGTTGGATCTTTAACTTTTAGGCTTTTACTATGAACTCATTACACTTTTTATAATTATAGGTTCAAAATAATAATAATAATTATTATTATTTCTAGTTTTAGTGACCTTTTACATATGTATCATACTCCGTATAAAAATTCTTGGATCAGTTAAACTCATAGGCTATATGTTACATCTGCCGCCTATGCTCATTTTAATGTAGACATTTTATTTGATTATACAAAATTTAACAATGATGATAGAAGGAGAACATGAATTTCAATTGACTTTGGGATTTGAAAAATAAATAAAGAAAGAAAGAAAAATTACTTAATTATAATGCAAGAGGGGAGATAATACATGCCAATCCCCTATGGATGGACCCAATTCCAAAAAAAAAATGAGATTCGAACCTCAGGGCTCAATTCTAGAAAAAAACGAAAAACAACAAGTTAGACGTGAGATTTGAAATCCAACTTTACGTGTGAAGGTACACCCAATAATTATTGTACCATAAGATTATTTGAGTTTGGGTATGCATACTTTTGCGTGCCGCCGCGAGCACGCATATATACATACACACACACACACATATGTGTGTGTTGTTGACCGCCCGGCTATGACCCCCACTGTGTGTGTGTGTTCCCATGAACTCATACCATCTGTATAGGTCAA